TCAGAGAAGTGAAATGCTTAACCCAGGTGTCCTCCTCTCCTATCCCATTGCTAGAACCTTCACTTAATAACCATTTCACAAATAAAATCTCTTGCATAAGAGTTGATTTAGATGCTATCATTGGAGCATAACAACAACAACAAAATGTCCAGCAACTCTCTGAGTGGGATTATACAGAATCAGTTTCAATTGGTGAGTAATGTTGACGTGAACAAGCTGCTGGGGCAAGTAAGGAGGACAACTTGCTTTCTTGATCCCTGTATCTCTTGGCTTGTCATCCAGGGAGGAGATCCAATTAGATTTCAAATACAACAAATTAGAGAAGAGAATTTTCCTCCTGTTTAAGAGAAGCAATAGTTAGACCCCTGCCGAAACAGTCCTCCCTAGATCCCCTGGGTCTTAATAACTATAGACCAGTGTCTATTTTTTTTGGGGGGGGGGGTAACAAGACAGTTGCTCTCTAGCTCCAGGAAATTTTGGATGAAACACACTTCCTTGACCCATTTCACCTGGAGGGCTGCAGGTTGTGCAGCCTGATCTGGAGTGACAACTGGAGTGAGGAGTTAATCAGAGAAAGGAGAGGAAGAGGTGGGAGGATTTCTGCCTTCCTCCTTCCTTATCACTCTGATGCCCTGACCAATATCACTGGAGGCAACAACCAACCTGCAGGACCCTTATTGAACCTACAGAACACTGTAACAAGGAGAATGAGCAGAAACAGTAAGGGTCACTGTCTGGTTGTGCTGAACTGGATTCAGTGCTGCTGGGCAGTCAAGACTCTCTCACACCTTTGCAGTGGCAGGTCAGCCCCAGGATAAGGTGTTAGTGTAGATCCACACAAGGATTTCAGAATGAGGTGAAGATTACAGAAAGTAGTAATGAGTAAAAACAAGAAAGCTATGAGTTTTTTTTCCCTTAAGGCTACCAGGAAAGGCAAGTTTCCATCTCTTCCTCTGGCTGAGTTAACCGAGTAGAAACTATTTTCTATTTTAAACTCAATTTCCACCAGCCAAAGTAAACTGAGGAAAAGGGTGAAAGTGGGAGGAAGGGAAACTGAGACATTGTTAAAGCAGCTGAAAATATGGGACAAAAGACTTTTAATCAGGATTGTTTCTGCCAAACTGGGACATTTGAAAGAATGCACCACATTTGTATCTTCTGTGCTTTCATTGACTTCGTTCTTTTCTTCTTATTTTTAAAAAAATATTTCTTCAAATGATATTTTTAAAATCCATTTTTTAAAAATGCCTTCAGAGGGTAATTTCAGGATACAATAGATGCTCCACTTTTGTGTGCTTCCTTTGTTGTTTTTTCCATGCTGACATTTAGATTTCAAGTTGTCCTTTTGTACTTTCTCCAAATGCTTGTTGAGGGTACTAAACTGTTTGCAGTACTGATGTCTTGCTGGTGAGTTCCTAACTGCCCTTGGTAATAAAAGCCTTCTTCTTTCCCTGAATTATGGTCTGAGGACAATCTCAGTTTGGTTTTCTGCTTTGTCTTGGTAGACTGTTCTTTAGGGACAGTTCAGGCTGAATGTTTTCATGTCTCCTTGCTACCTGTGAGCACAGCCAGGAACAGATAGTGCTGGGAATTTAAATGACGAGACCAATTCAGAAGCAATCAGGTCTGTCTGCCAAAGAGACTCAAGCCACAGGGAAACATAGTAACTATAAAGTCAGGCAATTTTCACAATATTGTTTGAGGAAATGGATTTTCAACTATTTTTTTCATCTTCCTTTTTATGGATTACCCCAATGGTTTAGCACGATTCCTGTTGAGCAAATGTTGATCAGAAAGACATTACTGAATCTCACATCTTTCTGAGTCTCTGAGTATGCCCTTAGGTTATGCTCCAAATGTTTTCTGGTCACATTAGAAAGAAACAATAATCTGATATGATGTATTAAGAGAAAAATGGTTGTGAGGTTTGCCAGGTACTATAAAACAAAGACTTCTCAGAAAGGAAATTGCATACTGCTTGCAAGTATTGTCTTCATAGTTCTGCAGAAGTACAGATTATTTCACATGTTTATCCATGTCTGCATTAATGGTTTGATATTAGTAATTCATTACTTTAAAAGAAAGTCAGAGGCAGTCGAATTATGTTTAATATATTTTATTGTTTGTGCTTCTTCTCAAAAGAGCAGCACAGTAGTTTTTCCTCTTTTCTATTTATCTTCACAACAAACTTCTGCAATAGGTCATGTTCAGAGAAATCAGCTAGCCCCATGTCACTCTATAAGATTTATGGAGGAGTGGGAATACAATTGTGGATTTCCCAGGCTAGCTCAGATTGGTTGTTTTACTATCTTATTACTACAGAACACTGAATAAATAGGAATCCTTAGTACTTTATTACAGTTTCCCCAAGGGTAGCCATCTTAAGTTGTATCTTATTCCATAAAAGAAGTTGCAACCCACAATTAGATTTTAGGATACTAAAAGAAAAATTAAAAATGTGGTTGATGAACATGAACCTAAAGGTGCATAGAGACCTGATCCCCCACATCTCTACTACACCTCCAGAGAAAGTATGAAAATGATAATGTGTTCAAGAATGTGTTATGAGGTTTGGGCATTAGACACTTTTATTCACAGGTTGGCATTTGTGTTTGCTTTTAATGAAGGAGATGGTCACAATCCTCACTTGGAACACGAAAGGTAGTAAAGGTAGTAAACTGTTTGAATGACTATTAGTTTAATGGGATGTGCAATCAGATCAGGATTAGTGGAAATGGGTTCTGAGAAAGGAAACTGGAAGCCCACCAATATTTGGCATATTGGAATGGACAGTTATCTGATCAGGCGCATAGATCACTTGATCACACTGTTCCACTGTGAAAAACAGATATATAAGCTTAAATTTTATCCAGTATTTCCAGGTAGAGTATTTATTTATTTATTTTATTCAAAGTATTTATATTCCGCCTTTCTCACACCAAAGGAAACTCAGGGTAGATCAGAGAACATATATATGGCAAACATTCAATACCAATTATACAATGATAAGACAGACTCTCTCTCTCTATATATGTGTGTGTGTGTGTGTGTGTGTGTGTGTGTGCTTTCCTATCTTTCAGCATCTTTGGAGGTTGTGCTTGGTTCTGCCCACAAGGGGTGCTGTTTCTCCACCACTTTGGCAGAAGCTGGGTAGAAGGTCAGGCCTTCTCCCTGACCCAGGATTTGAACTATCAACCTTCTGGTGGGCAAGATTTATTGCAACTTGGTGATTAACCTACTGTGCTAAAGCCCAGCCCAGAGTATATGCAGGTAAATTCCATTTATTCATGGGATTTACTTTAGTTGGGATTAACAAATAGGATACAAACCAAGGTATCTCTATTTTGGGTGTGATAATAATTTTCAAAATTGCATCTGTGTTTATACATGGACCTATGTAAGTTTTGACTTCTTTGTCCTCTTCCTAGTGATGCAGAATTGTCCTTTCCCAGCAAGGAATTAAGTTTGCTATTACAAAGGTTGTGAACTGGTACCTTCAAAAAGTTAACCCCAAGAAAGCTGAAACCAACTTCCACATAGGGAACAATTTAATTTGCACTCTCTTCTCTTTTCTCTCTATGGCAACATCTGCTATTTCCCTTCTTTGTTGAGCATTTTGCTTCTCGTATTTTAATCTTTAACTGTCTTTTCCATATTCCTAGATCATTAAATGTAATAGATTGATATATTTATGCTAAAGTAATACTCTGGAATGGAATTTTATCCAAGAAGCACATTCAATATATTTGTTCGATTGAAACTTACCAGAACCTGCTATATGTTCCATTTCATTGTGTGTGATAGTGGGACCTTGTTAATTACGCTAAAGATATCTGAAAAAAAAAAGATATATTTTATTTGTTTGAACAAGTTTTTTTCCTAAGTCCTGGACTTTATTCTCTCACTCTGTGATGGCAGGAAGAGGATAATGCTAAAGATGTACCATCTTGCAGTGATTTAAACCAAAGGCCAATGCCAAAACGGGTTAAAATGCTTTTACTTGCACAAAAGGGAGAAGGGATGTCACTAGCAGAGAGTCAAAATAAAGGCATAAACTCCAATTATTAAATCTTTCTTTATGATTTTTTTTCCTTTGGTCCACAAATTCCTGGCATTTCAAAGAATGAAATGTTGAAAAACATTCACCTTTTATTCACTGTGTTTGCATTTCCTTGGTAATGTTGCCCACTTTTTCTTTATATGCCAAAAATAGGTTTCTAAATCCTCAGCTGAATGTAACTACAATGCTTAAAGTTAAAGACTAAAGGGATTTTTTTGAGGGGGCATACTTCTTTTTTGAGGTGAATCCCGTGAATTTTCCAACCCCTAAAGTTACAACCCTGCAGCAGGGCCTTATGCTGTAGTGACTTGAATACTGGGCTAGGAATCAGAGACATCTAATCAATCATGGAAGTGCATGCAATTAAGCTTCCTTTTCAGGTCTTCCCCATCAACAAGACTGGTCACTGTGGGAAAAGTGGGGTTATAGTACAATTCCTTTGCTCCCTCTGAGTGTGTGTGTTCCTTCAAGTTGTCTATTGACTCCTGGTGCTCCCATTAATTTCATAACACTTCTTTAGGCAAGAAAAACTCAGAGATGGTTTGCCATTGCCTGTCCCTGATGTGTAGTGACAGTGCTTGATATTTGACAGTTTCCTTTTTAAAGTACTTACAAGGTCTGAACCTGCTTAATTTCCTAAATATAATGGGATCTAGACAAACACCTAGACAGGGCCTAGCATGCCTGATATATAGTATTAATCTTCACAATCATAAACTAGGTTAACTGTAGAACAATGAAGCAGATGTTTGTCTATGAGCATCTCAGCATCTTCATGACTCAAATTTAGAGACACTTCCTCTGGACTACAATAAAACCGCTTTCTCATCTCTTTTGTTTCTTAACACACACCCTTCCTTTAATCTCATTTCCCCCCAATTTTCCGTCTTGGTCAACTTCACAGATTTTAGCATCTTGTCTTCTTTCTTTTTATTAACAGGTGACCTCTGCATTGCCCAGTCATTGAAAATACCACAGGATCGCAAAGACAAGACCTTCGAGTTTGATAAAATAATCAAGCTCCTCCTAGATACTCCCGGAGCCAGGGCTATCATTGTCTTTGCCTACGATGAGGATATAAAGTAAGGATGACCGGAGACCTTAATTTGTATACATGTAATGACTATGGACTAGCAAAAATCGTTAGAAAATATAGAGGTATATTGACAGAGAGGCAGAGAAAGAAAAGGGGAAACACTGTGTGTGGCCTGCATCATGCGCAATAAGCATTTGGTGCATTCCCAAATTCCTAAAAATAGTTCATCAAATTAACAATTAAGTTGATAAAATTGATTATGGCTGTACCACTTTCAGTTGAAACAAAGGAATTGTGTAATTATATTTGCCCATGGGGGAAGCATCTATCACACATAAGTCTTAGCATACCAGCACAGAATTCTATCTAGAACTCTTCTCCATAGAGATGCTACTATTACTCTTTCTACCTGGCCATAGGGAACCTTGTTGTGATTAGTAATACAGAACCTCAATTTTGTGTAATTTTATCCTGGATTCAACATTTGGAAGTGTTGTACAGGAATTATTTTGTGGGGGGAAAGAAAACATTAATGTTTGCATGAAAACAAACCTGTTTATATGCTTCCATGTACAGGAAGCATGTTTTGTGTGTGCACACATACAATTCATGTGGGTTTTTTTGTTAACAGTGTAATTGTTAACATTTCAGAATGTTGAAATATCAATAAAATATTGATTTTTTTCCAAAAATTGTCATTGACAAAAATTGCCCCAAATGGCTCTTGCACACAATCAAATTTATTATAATATATAGTTTGCTAAGTGATCAGTAGAAACCCTTGAGGCACTTGTGTTTCTCAAGTCACATTTTGTTGAGAATCCATACTAATGCCAACATGCAGTATAGGTATTCTATGAAATTGCCATCTGCACCATAGTCTTCCCAATGTTCAGCTGCTTGCCATGTCCTAATGCATGTATTGTTTTTTTGTCAATAATGTTATTCCAGGCAAAGTAAATTGGTCCCATCCTGCCCTTTTTTGTTTTAGTTGTTTTTGTGTTGGTGGCTTAGAAAAGCTTAGTTAATATAGCAATATCATTTTCTTTGAAAACACTGCTATAGTGACTTAGGACACATCTACACTGGCCAGCTTAAAGGCTACTTGAAAGTGCACAATTTACATAATTCCTGCTGTGAATGTATGCTGCGGTATGCTTTAACAGATTTCAACCAACATAAGCAAAACTGGGGAAGACTCCAAAATAGAACCACAATGTGCATTAGCACACTTTAATGTAAACCACATTGTACATCAAAAGGAACTCCAGAGAATGTGAATCACTGTGTAGACACCTGAAGTGCTCTGTTGATCTGTAGATGTGAATTCCAGCAGATGAAGTTGGGGAAAAAATCTGCATTCTCTGCATCCATACACCAAACCACTTCCATGGCTTGCAATGTAATCATCTGCATAGTGAAACTACTTCTTGCCATGCTGGTTTGGTTTCACCTCAAATTTGTCAGTATAGATGTGCCCTTAATTTTCTAAGGGTACTTCCACACTACACTTAAATCCAGGGCAAAGCAGGTTTAAAAACCCACTTCAGCATGCATTTAAGTCCACACACCCCTCCCAAAAACACGGGCTTTCTGGGAGGAGGGTGTTTCCATGCCATTCCATTAACTACCAGAATGGCATGCAACCATCTCAAAGTCCCCCAAAACAACCCTTAAAAATTAAAAAAGTGACCAGCTGCCATTAAGGTACTACTTGAGTTCTTGACAGTCCGTCCCCCCCCCGACTCATCATTTCTTTGCACCAGGAAGTCTCAAGTAGTACCTTAATGGCAGCCAGGTAGGGTTTTATTTAATTTTTAGTGTTGTTTTGAGGGGCCTAGGGGGGGAGGGGGTGGGTGCCATCCTGCACCTCTGAGCTCTTGGAGCCAAAAGATGTGAGATGGTTGTGAAGACTCACCCCTGGGTAGTTACAAAACTACCTGGTAGTGATACCTCACAGGCTCAATACACCATTAAAAGGTCTGGATCCCAAAACCCCTTTTAGGAAGGCCCTGATCTAATGAGATATCTTATTAATTTGGATAAATCAGGGTTTTACCGAAGGTGTCATTTGGACGCCTCGGGTAAAACAAAGACAGATCTTGGTTTAAAGGCTTGTCTGGATGGGCCTTAAGGTGCATGCTGATTAAGAAACAAATGGCATGGAGATCCAAACACTTTGCTGTGTAAGTTGTGGAATATAAAATGCAAGCATTTAAGGCAAGAAAATAAAGACTAAGTATGTTTTGTGTGAGAATGGCACCCGAGAATTCACTGTGTTTCAGAAAGATATTTGCAAGGTCTTTTAAGTCTTTAGGGCCCATTTTCAATGGTTTGAAAATGTTTGGATAATATTTTAGAAAAAAAGTTCAAATGGAACCATTTAGAAATAATGTCTATAAAGAGGGGAGGAGGAGAGGGAGATACAGATAGAGAGAGGGGGCAGGGGAGAAGTAGGAGGAGTAGGAGATGACAGTCTGAAATGTTCCATATCTTTGAATACATTTAAATGGCCCATTTTCAATTATTCACAAATATATAAAGCGACATATTTAGAAATGAGGCAAAGAAGAGAAATCAAAAACATCAAAAAGAAGTCTGGAAGAAAGAAAAGGAACTGAGAGAAATTGTTGAGAATTCAGGTAACCTCCTGGGTAAAATCTACAGTGATGAAAAATTTTCCATTGTTTTCCAATAACCATTAAAATTAGTGACTGAAGTTTTCAAATATATAGCAATGGTCATCTGGTAAGGAAAAACTGGAATAAGATTCTTGATTTATGGAGAGTTTGTATGTCAGACTGTTAGCATACTCCATGTCCAGTATGATTTGAATAGCTGAACAAAGTTGGGTTATGTTTAGATACTATTTGTATTTAGATGTTTAGATCCTATTATTCTCTCCTACTTCCCCAACCTACCTTTTGTTTACTTGTAAAACAGGAACTGCTCTCAGTGAATGCTAGAAAAGGGGGGGGGGGAGTTTGGAGTGATCATTGTTTCTTTACTCTATTCTAATGCTGTGGTGCCAATAACCCAATTTCTTCAGCAGATTTGTTTTGTAGGACAAGTAGGTTCCTGCACAGATGGATGTTTCTTTTCCATCAGGAGTTATCCAGGAGTAGTCTCAAGACAAATGCAAGGTTGTCTAAGTTTGCCCATCTGACTGATTTTTATCTAGTTTTTCTCCTATAAATGGAACCACAAAGAACAACCTGATTTGAAATAATGGTCTTGGGCTGGATATGTTATGCTGTGCTATGTAAAGTACACTTTTTAGCAATTCAGTTGAGGAAAGGGGAGAGAGAATAATGTAATTTCCCATCAATTGAACTACTCTCTCAAACTGTCATGCCTTTTAAGTGGATTATCATAAAATCCCATTGTAGCTGGGAGCACCTATTTTGGGAAGGCAGAATTGCACACTGGCCTGCATGCCTTTGGTGGAAGGGGGGGGGGGCCTCTAAAGGAGTGGTATTAATTGTTAAATTCAATAAACCAAACATTGGTTTTATCACTTTTGAATCCCCCATGAAGTTCAATGGATATGTCTATCAGAGCACCAGTTGAAAGTGATTATACCACCAACATATTACTTGTTTTAGAAAAAGCTAATAAAAGTTGTCATTGCAACAGTTGTCTTTCCCCCAGTGTGCTACTCTTGCACAGTTCATGAGGGGGTGTCATGTTTCCATTGCTTGTGTTACACATGTAGAATGTAGACTGGGGAATCAACGTATTTAGAGGGGGATAAGAAAATAAAGAAAGCAAGCTGTTGGTTACAAAAGAAGTAATTAATTATTATTTCACTAGCAAGCATGCAGAAGCTCTAAGTACCAGCTCCTACAGCTCAGAAACTACTAAGCAACATCAGATGACAGAAGATTTTTCTATGGTCAGACATAGTTGTACTCAAGACTTTTGGCTCACTTCTTTTACGTTCCTTTGTCTAAGAAGGGTCAATGATCCATGAGGCTCCTGCCTCAGGAGGATACTTATATCTGCACATGATACTCAGATTTAGGGGTTTTCTACTAAAATATAGGTACTCTTCTTTTGTCTGTCTCTTTTTCTATCTGATGGGTTTCCTGAAACATTAAATGTAAGGTTTCCCCCTTTCTTTTTTAACCTTACAAGAGCACCTTGAGTACTAACTTGGTTTTCTACCAGAAGTTCATATTGAACTCGCTACACTGCATTCAGGTTGATGCAGATATTTCTATATTTTTAATAGCTAGAGGGTCATTTCAGGTGTGCCTGTCAAGTTTTTTTTCAAGCTTTCAGTGAAGCGCTCATGCGTATATTTCTTTTTTTTTCAACCCTATAAATGTAGATGAAAGCCTATCAATTTTAATATACATAGAGGGAAATTTGAGGAAACATTAGTATTCAAGAATTGTTCAGTTCTAGAGCCCAGTTAAAGCTATGATTCCACTCTAATCGCCATGGCAAAATTCTGTGAAATCCAGAAATTTGCATGGCAGTTAAAATCAAATTGTAGTGCTATAATTATATAGTGTGCATTTCTATTTAGAGATATTTAATTGTCATTAAAGCAAATAAAAATAAAAAGGAATATTATATTTAAAAGGATAGAAATGGGTTAAACTTGGTGGTTTGTTCTAGGCCACCACAAAACCACAATCAGAAAATATCCAATAAAAATATAACAAGTTAAAACAAACCTAAAGTTCAGACTGAAATCCCATGTCAGATTGACCTTATGCTGAAACATTCCATTCTTGAGTTTGTTTTATCTTATTGTTTTAAAATTTTAATGCACATTTTCTGAGGTTCTGTTGTTGGCCAGACTTCATCATTAGCGTATCTGTTTGCTTGCACTTTCTCAGGAGAATGATAGCACTATAAACGAGGGAGAGACTCATTCCTTTTGGTTATTATCTTTGATTTTGCTTCACAGTACAACCATGTGATGAACTAGACGCAATTGCAACCTGAAACTCATCAGAGCTATTGACGCGTCTGTTAAAATCTGATGATTACAATGGTCTAAAAGTGATTCTTCTTGCCAGGTTTACAGCAGTA